ACTACTTTTCAGCTGAAAGGTCAAGGGACTGACGCAGCCACCACCGGTTGCTGATGGGTTCAGTTTCTCCATGGCATCTGTAAACGCCGACATTGCAAACTCGCTGGTACTTTCAGCTGCCTCGTCGTCTCCAGAGCTCTGGCTGTCGGTCCCAGATCTGCATCCCAGAGTCCAATCAGATTTAAAGGCATTCTCTTTCGGTCGAGGCGGCGTCGTGGCAGGTGTTGATGTGACCGTTGCAAGATTTATAGCTGCCATTGGTTTGGCGAGTCTGGGAGTTGAGAAAATCAAACAAAAATTAGAAGTCCTCCCACCATGTGATTAACTGCATAGTCTGTCCACAACTGAAATTTTTGAGCGCATTGTTGCGAAAGTAGAATTTAGTTCATCTTCGTCAGCAATACGCGTACAAAATTCCGTTCTGTTCACAATCAGCATCACCGCGTGCAATTGTATGGTACATTATCAACCATTTTCTCTTTTAAAGTCGTCCAATTTAAAGCCTAAACACTATTTGTCATTTTTTACGAAATTTAATCCCATTTTGGCCATGCACCTGTAAACATACTTTGCTTACTACATCAGCAATGTTGCGCCAAATATTTTAGAGTGTGGCCACGCCGAGGAAAACAATTTTGCTTACATGCAACATTTCCATTGAACATTTGTCCTTGAAAGTTCTCTAGGTGTCAATGCATATCATGATGTGCTTTATTTATAGGATCAGGTAGCTTTATATCACCTATAAGGTTCGTCCTCTTGCTGGTTACTTTCTTCGGGACGTTGCCCTTGCAACAACGTCATGTTCTCCGCGAGTTTGATTTTGTGCAGCTTGTAACAAGATACACAGATTACTGAAAAGCACGAAATAAAACAATAATGCAAAATGATAATAAGCAGAGTAATACTTATATTAGATAACAGATAAAAACAGTTGCACTATGATCATGTGACCCCTGTGTACTCTCTTAAATTTCCAATAGGGGGTGTGCTGCCAAGGTTGTTAAACTTGACTCTAGGGATAAAAGGACGAAAATCGATGCCTCCTGGTTTCTATATCAATGACGCAAAAGGGCTTTGTGTAAATGCATAAACGTCAAAAACAGAAGGAATATTATCTTGCAACAGCGTAAACATTGGTGTCAAGTAACTCTCCAAGGTTATTTATCTAGTATCTCGCCTTGCGTGTATGACATAAAAAATGCTTTTGTAAACATGTAGGTGTTGAGAGATAAGGTAGGGCAGAAAAACCCAATATATTACGCATTTGTCAGTACAGTTGCTGTTTCCCGATTATAAACATAATTGACTAACATCACAATTTTGTAGTGTTGGAAACTTTGGTTGTAGATTTCAAGTTTGCCTCAGAGCACTGTTACAAGTCGAAGTGTGAATTAAGTTATCAAGTTGCACTAGCTGCCACATGGCCTCCATGTGGAATGACGGTACGTATCTTGCGACGAAATCACAGCAGCTGTTTTGTTTTATACTCACTTGCATGCGAGCTTTGACCCAGATATTAATCAAATCCAAAATACTGAGTTCTGACATTTACCTCACCTCAATATACGTGTAGATCTTATCTTAATTTAAACCGTGGTCCACATTTCAGGACAATACCTTATTGGTAAGCTATAATTTATATAATCATACTTACGGGAACCTGTTGGAACGAGTTCTGAAAAGATAGCATAAATTTCCCTTGACATGTCGAGATGAACTGCATTTCTAGCATTTAGCTGCTTTTTCCGGCCGTTGTGCAGCGGGTACTGGCAAGTGCGACGTGGTCGCCAGTTTTTACCCAAGTTTCCTATATGCTTTTCGCAGATTCAAAGTTCTTCAAGTTGATCGGGGGAAAGGTCGTGTAGCAACCCTGACCTGTTAACGATAAGCTCATATTCTTGTACCTTTCCTCTGACTTAAGTGACATGCTTGTAGATGATCATTGATGTCATGTGTACATTCTGAGAGCTTTATCAACCTTGCTGAAGACTCGCTACAGACTGAAGCCTTCCTGGTTTCGAAAAAGCACTTACATGCCATACTACACTTGCAGGCCTTCCAGAAAAATAAAGGGCCAGCGGGTTCACCCACAATGGTCAATGCGGACCTCTGTGAAAACAGAACCACGGCTGTGCTCGATAGTGCAATCGTTCAGCCTTAAATTCCAAATTTTAGCCCCCAAACTTCGACATATAGACTTGTGGAGTTCTATGACTGATTCTTGAAGAGAATGCAGCAGCGATCCAAAGTTTTAACAGGACATTAAGCGCGAAACATGGCTTTAGTTTTCGAGTTTAGTTCGCAACAACCAGTTAAAGAAGAGTGTCGATACACGCCGACCGCTGAGGTTTGGAGTTATTTGCTGGAGTTATCATTAAGTTCACCAGTTTGGGGAGCGAGGAACATCTGAAATCTCACATAAAGCCAAGGTGCGCCGAAGGTAAGCTGTATTTATGACGAAATCTGCTCCAGTGGTTCGATTTTAGGGTAGGTGAAAAAATCGCGAATGCTCGTACATGTGCTGATTCAAACGGTCATAACTTTTGAAAAATCGAAAACGTACAGGGGTTTTTACATTTTTTTGCCTATAAAGGTCTAAACTTAACGGCTGTGTAGGATAGAGTTGT